CTCTCCTCACTCCCTAAATATCATTCACTAAGGACCAGGCTGTGCCAGGAGTGCCCTTCCTGGAGATACAGTCCCTCTGTCACCCTCCCTGCACTCTGCTGTTTCTAACAAGGTGACAAATGATGCCACAGGGTGAAGATCCTTCTCCCATATCAACACAAGCTCATTTCATTGTTTTTCACCAACAAGGGCAAGAGTTACTGCTATGAGGTTGGTAACACAAGACATGAATCTTGAACTCAAGGAACAGAGATGTCAACCTGAACCAGGAAGCATGGGATTGGAGAATTGTCTTCCTGCGTCTCCGTTTAGATGGAGGTTATCACAAATGGGTGAGCATTCATGCTTTACTGTGGCTGGGTGGTATTCCACATGTGTGTGGTGGGGAGCCATCTTCCCTTAATCATTCATCAAATGACAGACACGCTGTTTCTAATGCTTGGTTGTTGTGAATAGTGCTGCAATACCCACGCCAGGGCAGATGTCTCCCTGACAGCATGCCTTCCTTTCCCTTGGGTGTACGCCCAGGAAGACCGCTGGATCGCACAACATTTCTAGTTCTCATTTTTTTTTTTTTTTTGAGGAAGTTCTGCACCATTTCCCACTGCAGCTCTGCCGATTTACATTCCTGCCAACAGGCTGCAAGGGCTCCTTTTGCTCTGCATTCTTGTCAGAATTGGTTATGTCTTATTAACAGTCTGTCACATGGAAGCGAGAGGATATCTCATGCTGATTTTGATTTGCATGTCCCTGATGACTCATTCTATTGAATTTTTCCATGAGATTGTTGGCTATTGATTTGAGAAATATCTGTAGTGAGGCCTACTGCCAACATTTAATTGCATTTTTTTTGGGTTTCCATTTACATGGATATCTTATTCCATTCTTTTATTTCTAGACCATCTATGTCCTCAGGATTCGGGTCCTTTATTTTCTCAAACTCTAAAGAAACTTATCATGTTCAGCATTTTTGCCCAATTCAAGATCCGTTTTAATCTTCATAGCATACCAGATTCGTGAAAACTCACACCAAAAGAATTTAAACCATCAGCAACTTCTTCCCACTGCTTTTGGGTGCATATTCCTCCCGGAAAGCAGCCTATTTCATTATGCTTTTTAAAATGTCTGGTTATAAAAATGTGCAAAATTTGGAAAACTTGGAAACTAAACCAAAAATTAAGAAAAAATAATACAAGCCTACGTCTCCAAAAATGTTCACTTTTAACAGCAATGATCTTGCCTTTCAGCCTTGTGGTTTTCTTCTTATACAGTGGTTATATTACATGCCTTTTTTAACTTCAGAGTTTTAATTTTTCATTGTAAGGCACAAGTTTACCCAAGCTAATAAAATATGCATGTTGTTTTACAGCCTCATGATATTGTGTCAAGTTGAATGTCCTAATTTACTTCTACCTTGTATTTATAACTAATTCAGCACAGCCCATTTTACTTTACATTTTTTTAAACATTCTGCTTTGTCATGAGCTGTAAGTTTTCAAAAGTGAAATTACTGGACTAAGTGTTAAGATGTGCTAAGTAGTTCTGATATATGCTGGCATAAGTTTATGTCCATTTAGACTTTATCAGCAACGGTAGTGCTTTTTCTAATCTAGCTTTACTGAGTAAAAGATTTGCTTACAAAAATCACTCAATTTAATACCAAAAATCAAATTGAAACATGAATCTCCATTGTTTTGATTTCTTGAGAGACTGAACACTTTCCCGTTGAGCTTTAGCTTGTGAGTGTCCCTGGCTGCTGGAGATCACCACTCAGCCCTGCATATTCTTCAGGGGGATTACAAACAGGCTGGGGTGTCTGCAAAGCCCACACTGCAGTGCGTGCCTAAGGATAGCACCCCACCACGCGAATTACGTGGGCTCTGTGAATACTAAGTCACAAGTGATCAGACAGAAATCAAAGACAATCCATTCTGTGGGATAAGGGGGAAATGAAGCCACGTTTTCTTAGAAAAGCCCAAGCAAGTGACATAGGTATAATGAGATTTGTCTTGATGTCACATCCAAGGATTATTCTTTTTTCTTATTCCCTGAAAACATTCAACCAAACTGGTCTGTGTTAAAGGTAATCATACAAATGACAAAAATCAGAGAGAACCATTTTTACTATAAAGCACAGAGCTAGAAAGCCAATTTGGTTCCAACATAAAGTGCAGTACCATTCTTGAAGCAATTTACCCCCAAATGATAATGGCTGATTTCTATGGGTTATTGATTTTAGAGACATTCTGCATTCCTCTCTCCCTCCCTCTCTCTCTCTCTATATATATATATGTATATATAATTTATAATGTTTAAATGCAGTTGTACATTTAATTTTGTTTTTTTCTTCTTTTAGGATTTCTTTAAGTTTTTTTTTTTTTTGCTGTTATTATTTTTAAAGACACGGTTTTGTAGGTAAAAGGATTATTCTTCTACCTCCCCTTTCTCATTCTATTTCCCACCCTTTTATACCCCATATTATTACAATGGTACAGTGCTTCAGCAATAGTCACATGTCCAAACATTCTGCTATTTAAGAATACAATGGATTTCAAGAAGATAGGCTTACATGATTTTAAAATGACAAAGGAAACAATTTAGTTGTATCCCACTTGTTATACAACTCTAAGATAAATAATCCATCATTTATTCTATAATAAATTCATTTGACACTTTCAAGTCTCTCACAGTTGGAAATTTAAACTAACACTGACAAAAGAAATGTATTTTTAATGCAAAAATACAAAGCAAATGAATTGATAAAGAACCAGTGCTATGAATACAGGACAGAAAGGACCATGAAATGGTAATATTCACCTAAAATAAATACCAAGAAGCTTTCACAAATGAAACAAAGGAACACTAGGACTGGCAGTTTTTGAATTGAATATTAAGAGGAACGTGGTCCTTTGTGCAAGTTTCTCCACTCAGCTGTGATCAGCTACGTCACTGAGATTTCCCTTGTGGATGTATCCTTCGGGGAACACACAAAGTTTTACAAATCCATTTTTTTTTCAAGATGAATATACTGGAAGAACAGCTCAAAGCAAGTAATTTCTAATCAAGGAGGGAGCTTCAAGTTGAATGAAGGACAGAGGGGAATGAAGCGGATGACAGCACAAAATGCCCATACCACCATGACCTAACACTACACCACCCTATGCCAAGGGGAAGGCTGGACAATGCCTTGTAAACTAATTCTCTAACTGAACAGACATTTTGCAAAACATCGGGCAGATTTCTATTTGAGATACCTACTTTTGCTGTTTACTACATCCCTGGCTAAAGAATGGCCCCCATGAATCCTCTTGATTTTAGTCCCATTTGGGAAGACTTCCTCTTTCATTGAATCCCTGTAGGACCTCTGACACTTTCTGGATCCTTCCTTTTAAGCTGAATGCACTCCAGGAATGTGGCTGCTACTGAACATGATTCTGTTCCACAGTCGTTCAGCTCACAAAGCCTCCTTTTCTACACCACAGCCTGGTGTGGAGCTGAAGTAGACAGCCTCCTATCCCGGCAGCATTCGCCCTAGTGGCTAGGGGAGAATATAGCATGGGACGTTTCCACAGTAGACATGACGCTTGCCCTACTGTCCAGGTACAAAGCCATGACAATCAATCACATCACAGCCTGTTCCGCTTATTGATAGCACCTCTGGACTACTTGGATGGATACCTAGGAGACCCAAAGGACATTTAGTGGCTCACTCCATTAACTAATTTATGTGGGAAATGCCAGTACTTGTGTTTAAGATCTAAATGGGTAAACACAGCAGGGGAGGAAAGAGGTAAGGAGAGAGAAGGAAGACAGAGATACTTAGGGTATCTATATTTTTGGAATCAGACTGTTTCATAAAATACAATGGTCTCTGTATGTGTTACAAATACAGAGGAAGATAACCAACTCAGAAAAGAATGTGAAGGAAGAAAATCTATTAATACTATAAAGGAGGTACAAAACAAACAATTGGCAAAATTATGGGAAAATGGAACAACCAAGTCATTACTTATAAATAGCAACCTTAAATATAAATGATCTAAAATTTCCAATGAAAAGATACAGACTGGTTGAACAGATCAGATTAAAAAACAGATCCATCTATATGCTGCCTCTAAGAAACACCTCACCAATGAAGATACAAACTCAGAATGAAAGGATGGAAAAGACATTTAATGAAATGGAATGTCAAAAATAACACAAGAGTAACTGCCTTAATAGCAGACAAAACAGATGTCAAGACAGACTGTTAAGAGAGACAAAGAGGTCAGAATGTCATGATTAAGGGACCAAATCAACAGGAAGATGTGACTACAGTAAATGCATGTTTAGTTATACACATATGCTCATTTCAGCTTTTAAAAACAAATACTAGTGGATCTAAAGCGACACATATGCTCCAATACAACAATAATGTGAAACTTCAACAGCCTGCTTCCATCGGCAAACAGATCAACTAGGATAAAAAAATCAACAAGGAAACAACACAATCTATATTATCAACCCAATGGGTCTAACTGGTATCTATAAAATGCTTCATCCCACAGCTGCACCTTCTTTTCATCAGTGCCTGGAACATCCTCCAGAATAGATCATATGCTAGGCTATAAAACAAGACTAAGCAAAACTTTTAAAAAGCTAAAATTAAATCATGCATCTTTTCTGATAAACACCTCAACTGAAAACAGCACCCGACACATCTGCAAAATGAACGCAAGGAAGAGACCAGATGAGAAATTTCAAAAACGATCTTCAGTTCTAAGACCACCCATGGCTCTCCTTTCTCTACCCAGCTGGCAGCCCCTCGTGCTCCCTCTTGTCTTCTTCTGTGTGAAGGCCAACAGATACCTTTACCCCCTACGTCACCTCAATCGTCTCTTCTGTGCAATAGTGCCCAGTTGAATCTTCCATGCTCCGAACCAAAGCATCAGTCGCTCACTGCTGGTCTTACCTGGTTGACGCCATCCGTGGAGATTCAGAGAGTATGCCTGGCCACTCACCTGGCTTGCTGGCAGACGCAGCAGACCCAGACTTTCTCATGCTTCTGGTAGGAGCAGCAGCTCTTGCAGACATTGAACTTGCAGTCCCCACACCGGCGTTTGGTGTTGACGAGGAAGGTGAAGGGTGAGCAGCAGCGCATACAGCAGTGCTCCACAAACTTCTGGTGCTTTGAGAGGATGCTGCACTTGCTGCCTTCCTCATCCAACTTCTGCTTCATCTCACTGGGAAACCAGAAGAGCAAACACACATCAGGCTAGGGGCTGTCACCCCAAAGCACCCTGCCCAGGCGCTCCCCAAGCCAAGCAACCACAGAGGGATCTTCCCAGAGAAAGAACAACTGCTTGGCATTATGTCCAGAAACAAACCCTCAGTTACTTTTTTGTGTTATATTTTAGACGTATATTTTCTACGAAAAGGCATGAACCATTTGTTGCTTTGAGTTCAGAGACTACATAGAAACTATAATGCTAAGGGAAATGAGCAAATCCCAAAAGGTTAGATACCACATGTTTGCCTTAATTTAACCTGTATTTTTTTTTGATCCTGTCATTGATACTGTCTCAACACATGTGTTTCGAAAAATTGAACTTGCATTATTTTTAACATATTGTTTACTCAATACTATGTCAATCAATCCCATAACACTGTATATTGCTGCTGATGTTTTGTTGGGGCTTTTAATTGACCGGGATTTTACTCTGTTAGCTTTGCCTTCAGACCAGGGAAGGTCTCCCCAAGAAGCTGTTAAACTTATCAAGACAATAAGATGCTGGACTCAATGCTGGGTATGTGCTTGCAATGAAGGAATCTCAACTGAACTTGAACTGTGGTTATGCAACAAGGTGGAGGAATCCACCATGGGGGGAGGGTTGTGGGAGGAGCGGGGGAAATCCAAGCATCTATAAAACTGTATCACATAATACAATGTTACTAACAATAAAAAAAAGAAGTTGTTACATAAAACGAAGCACATCTTTGAAAAATAAACCATTTTACTTAATGAATATACAGCCCTGCCGGCTGTGAATACACAGCCTTTGGTCTCGGACCCAAGGTAACACTTGAGTTGCAAAACTCAAAGGGTGCAAGTAATGAAATGTCAGCTTCCTCCAACTGCTCAATGTTAATCTCCAGATGCTAATGTGAGCAACTAATCGGTTTCTGAGACCCTGGAGACATTTCGCTGAAGACCTGGATGCTTGTAGAGAAAGACAAAACATGCAAGGTAGGGCTCCAGGAACTATGAGGCCATATTTTGGGTAGATTGTAAAATCTACTTCATGTTAAAAATGTTTATTACTCTTTCATGCTTTGTTTAGCACAGGAAGAAAATTCAAATACATTATACTGAAGGAGCCTTTTAAGATGCCATTTCATTCCTGGGAATTGGGAAAATGTTTACCCAATCACTTCCGACTTCGCTTATAAGGGTAAAAATGCCAAAAGACATGTTTAATTAAGTACAAATCTTTGAGCGTGTCACAATTCGTACAACAGCTCCTTATAAATATTCCCCTAGATTTCAGCATCCAGAGAATGCCACGAGAGTGAGCTGTTCTCTCCTCCTAAGGAAAATGAGGTTATGGTTATGAATAAATGTCATGCTTACGGGACATTAGTAGATTCAGGGCTTCTGGCACCATATTCAAACACAACAGGAGATGTGCTTAGACTATGGACCAGATAGGGCAAAGAAAGAACTGAAGCATCTCTTAATGCTTTAAACTAACAAGTGGCTCACTGGTTTTTTTCTTTTGTAAGAATTATTTACTTACTTGAAAGCTTTATTAGATAGCATTAATGAAAGAATATTTTCTACCTGTTGGTTCATTCCCTAGATGGCCAGGAGCCAGAGCTTCTTCTAGGTTTTCCAGTGGTGTGGGCCAAACACTTGGCTCATCTTCCATGCTTTTCCCAGCCAAGGAGCTGGATCGGAAGCAGAGCAGCCAGGACTTGAACTGGCACCCACATGGAATGCCAGCATTGTAGGTGGCAGCTTTCCAGGCTATACCATAACACCTGCCCTTCACTAGGTCTCATATGTGTCCACTTGCCTCCCAGGTACAAAGAGTCTTCAGGAATGCAGAGGCTGTTTAGTTGCACAGCAATGATATGCAGGCAACTCTCATTTCTGCACCTGTCAGAACAGGCAGCCAAGGTACAGAGAGGTCAGGAGACCAGTTCAGTCTTAAATGGCTCATGAGTGGGGAAGGCTGCATTGGAGTCCAAGCTTCCTCACCAAAGCCCCAGGCTCTCTTCTCCTCCAGCAGGCCACAGGCCATGGTTTGTGAATTGTCACAGAACATCATGAGCCAGCTCTATGTGTTCCTGGATGCACCCAGACCTCACTATCAATGGCACACAGTAGAAGAAGGTTTGAGGAGGGGAAATGGGCCAGCTCACCAGGGAGAAGCACACAGGCTGGAAATGAGAGACAGGGAGGCTGCAGCGAGCAGCTAACCTGCAGGAAGGCAGGTCAGTGCAGACAACATGCAGAGGAACATGGAAGCGGTTGGAGCGGAGTTATGACACAGCCGTAACGTGGCTCTGTAGAGAAACGCAGCTCACTGGAGGGTCTGTGTGTGTTATGATGAGAACTGGGCTCAGGCACTTACGGAAGCTGAGAAATGCCATGACTAGTGGTCTGTAACTGAGAGGCCCACGGGTATGGGTGGTGTCATCCAGTTCCAGCCTGAAGGCCTGAACCAAGAGAGCCAATGGTGTGGACCCCAGCTAGAGTTTTCTCTTAGTGTTACAACAGCTCCTTATAAATATTCCCCTAGATTTCAGCATCCAGAGAATGCCACGAGAGTGAGCTGTTCTCTCCCAGCCCATCCCACTGAGACTGAATATAGGCTCAATGGAACAACCCACACCTTCCTTCTCCAAACTCCCATTGCAAAATATTCTATTGAGATCCCATGGATATACTTCTGACCACAGTCTAGCCTTGTCATCATCTGTTGCTAAGGAAATGTGACCAGCACTGGTCTTCTTGTTTGTTGGCTGACATCTGTAATGGCTCAACCAACCCTTTGATTATGATTATTAAAACGGCTCATTTTATTGTTGAATTGATTGAATACATAAATACACATTTGGATGCAAAAATCAATTTAAGAAAACCCATACTTTTTTTTTAACCCATACTTTTTTTAAACCTATTGAGAATTTGCTTGAAGTTTTATTTACTTTCTTAATGGATCCTCCTAAAGTAATGGAACTGGGGGACCCAAGGCTATAATTTTGAAAATTCCTAACACATTATCTTGAGCCTGTAGCTTCTGAGTTTTTCACTTGGTGTATTTACTTACATTTTGCCTACAGGAATTACAAAGCAGAAGCAGAGATTTTTTTTTTTTTTCGCAGTTCCAGGATCTCTATTTCCTGCTTCTAATTGCATCCACAAGGAGTGGATCATTAAACAGTGAGAGTGAGAAAGGACTCAGAAAAGACCCTGCATCTGCCGTCAGCAGCTGGAGTGCCCTGCCTCCTGTGAGCTTCATCACAACGTGACAGATGTGTGGGTCCACAGGAGGGACTTGCGGAAATACAGTGGGAAATAACAGTGCCCTGGAGAAGAGGAATGGGCTCAAAGACTGGCCAGGACATGGGTACTAAGTTAGGTTACACGCACACTGCTTTTCTTCCATACCCAGGCAGCCAAAGATACTAAACCAAGAAGACAAACCAAAAGCATAATGGAGAGTGAACCTAGGTCTGTGCGGACAGACACAGAAGGAGCGAAGGGGAGATACTAATTCTTCTCTTCTTCCATAATGACACAACCTTGAATTTTTGCTTCCCACAATAAAGCCCATGTTTTGCAGCATCTCTTGCAGTTAGGTGTAGCCAATATGACTAAGTACTGCTTGATGAGACTAAAGTGGAAGTGAGGTGTGGGACACAGGGAGCCCGGAGGAAGCTCACTCTGCCAGGAGGAGCATCTTTCTCGTCTTTCACTTTTCCTACCCTTTCTCAGTTTGTTGGTGATGGCTGGAACTCAGCCTGCCCTCTTCAGCTATAATCTGACCTTAAGAGGCTATATGGATCAGATGGCCCAAGCAGTCCAGAGTCAGAACCATGAATTCTCAAAACCTGCTGACATCCTATTGGGCAGAGGCAGCAGGAAGGTATGTCAGCTGGATGGAGAACCAGTGCAAAACACAGTAAGATGGGGAAAAAATAAGCTGAACCCAACAGAGTATGGAAGGCCTGAGGTGAGTGAAAAGCAGGCTGCTCTGCAACATTTGTCCTCCCATCTGCCTCACCGGCCTTGCTCCTGGCCAGCTGCTCTGTTCTGCTCTGGAGTTGGGTGGGTCTGTCAGAGACCTTCCTTGCACAGCATATGGGGTTTGGAAATGGTCATTGCTACTGTTCCCTTTACAGCTCCCTGCTACCACAGTATCCAGTGTGGCTGGGGTTCCTGCCCTCCTGGCACTTGCAGCCAGTGAAAGCTCTGCTGTAGTCTTGGCTGTGCATCTCAGAGGCCAGTTTTCTATGATACCCTGATGGCCCTAACTCCTCAAGTGATCACCCTTTCCCTTTGACCTCGGTGCCTAGCCGAATTCCCAGAAGTCCCATGGCTCTGTTGCAGAACATCCAGGGTGGTCCCATGTCCAGTGGCTCTTTCTTGTTTGTATCTATGGCTCCCCAACATTGCTTGCCTTTGTCTGGTTAGCCAAGCATCCTCTCAGCTCTCACCAAGTCCTCTCAGCTTCCTCTCCCAAGGCTCACCCTCCCTTGGAAGAGAAGATCATTTTCATGGGGGAAAATGTTGCAAGGACAGCACAGGTGGAGGCATCAGAAAGACCTGGAAGGATGCTTCATCTCTCTGACCTCAGTTTCCCTGTCTGCATTATGATGCCAGTTATGTATATTTTGTGAGGTGGATGGGTGAAGTAGAAAGGAAGGACACATTTGTAAAATCTGTGTATCATGGACATAGGATAAAACTCAATGCTTTCATCATTGCATTTGCATTGAGTACAGCAGAGTGATGACCTAATGGAACCATTGAGAAATAAAGGACACAGCATTTCCAGTGACACAGGCTTTCTGAAAGCAGGTAGCAGCCCTGTGCATTCAGAAGCTATGCATCCCCTTCGAGTCCATTTGAGTGTCTCTCATGGGGCTGCTTAGCAAGGCCTGGGCCTCCACTGCAGAATTTAGCAGTCATCCTTTCCTCTCCATGGTGCCAAGGCTGCCCAGCACAGGGCCT